ATTTGATTTTGCCCTTGCAAAGAAATGCCTGAGACGTCAAAAAGTTTTTGATTGATGTCTACTTTAATTATTTACATTTTAGTATGTTTATTATTATGAAAGATGCTCGAGTACTTAATAAATTGAGCCATCTGTCCATATTAAATTCTTACAGTCAGTCAAGACTAATAAAGGAAATTCAGGATTATTATCTGTGCTGTCATTAATACAAAGTTCATCTGAGTACGTTCAGTTTAATGTTCTGTTTTGGTTTAGATTTGTGTTCCCAGTTCCTGTGTTTATTTCCCGTCTTCCTTAGTTGACCTAGTTTATAGTAGTTTGTTACCATAGTAATCTATTGTGTCCACCTGCCCCTTGTTAACTCACTCATTTAGTCTCTGTATATATACTCCCTGTACATACCCCCTGTTTAGTTTGTTGTCAGTTCTTACATCAATTTCAATTCATTGTTCTGTTCTTGTGTCTTTATCTCTCTCCTGAGTAGGATTGATTTGAATAAATGTGAGTTATTGTTAAACTGCTGTTTCACTGCTGCAACTAGATCCTGCTCAAACTCATCCTTGTCAGACCCTAAATATGGATCTAGCAGCAGTTTTTCTTGGACTAGAAACTATCCTGTTCTACTATTCCATTATTCAAGATGGCCGGGAAATTGAGGAGACCATGGAGGAGTATTTGGAATATTGCCACCAGACCTTGTGGGATGACTTTACTCTGTTGGACTGTTTTTGGAGAGAGCTGGATGGGAACATTGGCAAATGGATGCCAGCAGAAGATTCCAGCAGGTCCCTGGCTAAGTATCTGGACATTGTGCTTTGGCTGTGTGGTTCACAATTTACCGTCGGTGAGGTGGAGGACAACATCACAACACAGCTATAGCCCACTCCCACCATCTTGACATCATCTACCCAGAGTCAGAGCCATTACCTACCACAGACCCAGAACCAGAGCCCACCACAGACACTGAGCCAGAGCCTATGCCTGCCATGGACCCTGTGGTAGAGCCATTTTCTGCCCCGGAGCCCGAGGCTTCTGCAAAGTCTGAACAGGTGTGTGAGCAGGACCCCATGACCATCCCAGAGTAAATGTTGGTGGAATTGGACTGCCTGGAGTGGCTGATTGACTTGAGTGACACAGAGCCAGTTCCTGTCCTTGTTTCTACCCTTGAGCAACCTCCTTCCTTGCCGATCCCCTCCAGCTGTTTAGATACTCCATTTAAATACTCTATTTAGATACTCTTTTTAGGTTCCACCCAGCCCTGAATCTCCTGCTCCACTGGTTTCACACAGCCCTGAATCCCCTGTCAGCCAGTTCCAAGTCTCCCTTAGCAACATTGTTCTCGTCCAGCCTCCTTCTCTCTCCTCCTCTTTAAATTAAAGGCAGTTTTTCAGCCCTGTCTCCGCTGGCTCCCCTCAGCCAGTTTGCCAGCTCCGCCTAGGTGTGTCAATCCCCTGGCTTCACCTCGAGCCTCTGAGCCCTAGACTTCCCTATACTCCCTGTAGACCCATTGGATCCCTTCGTATCCACCATGGCCCATCATCCCTCAAGCTACACCAGACTCCCTCGTTCCTCTGGCTCTGCCTTGGTCAGTCATCACCCTGCTTGCGCCATAACCTTCCAGTCCTACAACTATGCCTTGTTTCTCCACCCCTATGGCTCATCCCGGCTCCGCCTCAGTCTGCCGAGTGCCAGCACCACATGATAACAATGGTCTCTCACATTCTGGGAGTATATGAGGAGATCATTTCTGTACACTTATGATGAAATGTTGTGGGTACTCCCAGAACACCTCATTAATGAAACCCTGGAATACAGAGGGAGCATTGGCCAGGCCATATGACATGACCCGATATTTGTAGTAGCTAGTGGGTTTGTGAGAATTGTTTGGATCATGTGAGAACTGTTTGTGGAATATAGGAGTAGAAGGCTTGGTAGGTGGAGACCACAATGGTGGAGGTGGATCCGAATCCATTCGCCGATCTCCGGGTCTGGCAGTAGCACTTTTAGCAGTAGCTTAGCATAGATTATTGAATCTGATTAGACCGTTAGCATCTCTTCTGTAGTTACATCGTGTACTAAGACCGACGGAAAATGAAAAGTTGCGATTGTCTAGGCCGATATGGCCAGGAACTATCTCTCCGCCGGAATGAGAGTATAGTTCCTAGCCATATCGGCCATAATTCACGCCTGCACGCTAGGTAGCGCAGACCAACAATGCATTTTTTCATCATGTAGCCTATGGATCTCGTATATGGCTTTTGTATTGTTTGCTGCTCAATATACAGCATTAAATTAAGATTAATAACTTTTGGTTCTTCATTAGAAACACAAACTATCCATAATGCTTACAAGAATACATCTGAAAATATAATTAGAGGTACAAATAGCATCAAGCTACATTTCAAAATGTATGTAATTATTAATGTTTTTGCTCAAACCCCACTTTAAACCATCATCAAGTGCTTGTAATAACTTGTAATATCTAAAATGGATTTAGATTCTATAATAGGTAGACATGCACTCTTTGTATGTTTTATAATAGACTGAACGCTACCTGCTTGTCATAAACATCCTTTATTGTTATAAAAATACCGTGAGCTGCATAAAAACATACAGAAAATATATCTTCATAATCATGTCTATTTGCTTTCATATTTCACATGTAGAAAAATGTTTCTCTATTTTTTTTAATATACGGAAGGGCAAGAGATGATTGACAGATCTTGAGTGAACGCGCTCTCGCGCACATGGAATAAAATGGACTGTGCTCTCCAGATCACATAATTCAGTGGAGATTTAATAGAAATGTTATTCTGTATTAAAGAATGTGAGAATATATCTGTTCTCAAATACCAACAATAACAAGAACTCAGCATCCACTTTCGTCTCTCTACAGGGATACTCTTCTTCGGTGTTTGTTTACAATGGCTTTCGAAACAGCGCCACCATTCTAAACTTTTGTGCAACAGCAGCTGCTCTGGGCACGTGATCTAAGCTCAAATCTGATTGGACGGCCCGTTTCATCGCGGAGCGATGGGGAAAAAAAATCGACAAACAAGACGAAAAAAAAATCTTCGCTTTTTCGCGCTGCGAATGATCGCGCCTAGTGTGAATAGCCCCATTAGGGATCAATTGTTTTGATTCAAATGCGTCATCGCGCCGAACATTCACGCCGATTTTCGTGTTCAGTGTGAAAAGCCCTTTAGTTGCACTGGTTGGAAGGCCCACCAATATAGAACATTGCAGTAGTCCAATCTTGAAATTACAAGAGATTGGACAAGTAGCTTTGGTGCATATTCTGACAGGAAGAGCCTGATTTTCCAAATGTTGAATGAGCATGTATGTACACTGCCTGTGAAGCAGGACTGAAGCCACCGAAGTACCATACCTGTGATCCCCAGAAAGAGTGAACAGGAGGATATGTCAAAGGCTGCAGGTCAAGCAGAATAAGAACATATGATTTGGAGTGTTCAATCAGCTCTCTACTTTTTTGTCACAGAACAATCTACTTGAAAAGAACCAGTCTGGGTTCAAAAGCGGACACTGAAAGTGGAGGCAACCCTGTCGACCGTTGCTGAAATTTTTCGGCTGGCAAGAGTGAGCAAAGCATGTAGGATGGGTGAAACAGCACTCTGGAGATCTCATTCTCTGAAAAAGGACAGAAAGAATAGAGGTGTTGGCGAGACTTTTGACTGTCAGGATCTGATTCGTAATTAGATGAGTGAACCCCCCTGGGTGCTGGTTAGAGCACAATAATATATAAGGATGAGGAGACAGGTGATCAGGTTTAGATGATGTATTGATAGGAGGTAAGCCACAGAGATACAGGTATTTCACAGGTGGGTATTAATTACAGGCAGTAGAGGCATTAGTCTGGAACACAAGAAATACAATAAAGGTTAATCAATAACTAACAATAACTAGGCATATACAACAATAAACATCCATTGGTACATAAAGGCAGCCAAAGCATACTAAATCCTCATCAGTAACATTTTTCCAAGAATCCAAGAAAAGAAAATAAGGTATCACGTTGTACATTATAAGCCATTAGCGATCATCTAACATGATAAACATCACTCCATATATGGATAGAATCGAGGCACATCAGAGTGATCGCTTGTTTGGCATAAACAGCTTGAAATATCAAAATCACATCACAGAGGTATCAATGAAAATCAAAACAGTGATATACATCTCAGAAAAGAAGAAATAATTTGCATATGCAACAGCCTCATTTGGCTAAACTAACAAAAACAACGTCTGCACGCATGTCTAGACATGTGCGTGTGACGCAGTTATAAATAACTCAATACTGATCTCAATAAACACAATAATAAAGAAAACAGACTTACTTGTAGGTCAATGACTAACACCTCAAGGTAACTTCTGCAGCAAATATGACCGGAATGAATGACCTCTCAGTGATCGGCAGAATACAGAGTTCAGCAGGCATCAGCGGCTTAACTCACGAGACTGCTCAGCCAGAAGGTGACGTACGGTGTCAGAATAAAAGCCCTCTCTTAAAGGAGCCTTTACAACAAGAAGAGTTGAATGTGTGTGGGTGGAGGATGTAAAGAACTGGTTGCTGGTGGTGGCCAGCTTATCAGTGAATAAGCTGGCAAAGTCATCAGCAGTCGGAGAAGAAGTGGGAGGAGGTGGAGGGGGACAGATAAGAGAAAAGTTGTGAATAGTTTCAGGGTGTCTAAGGTGTTGCTGATTTTGTTTTGGTAGTAAGATATCTTGGCAGCAGAATCATTAGAGAAGAAAGAGGACATGAGAGAATGGTATTTGCTCAGGTCAGCAGGGTCTTGTTGTTACCTACTGCATAACACTGCTTGTGACTTATAACTCATAACTTAGACTTGTAGTACAACACAACGAAACGTTTCAATTTATATTTTACTGCAGTATTTGCAGTGAGATCCCATTTGTAGACATGCACATAGAAAAGAAACTCACACTTCACACTAGATGTATGTGTTTTTATTTAGTGTGAAGCACGGCAGCGTATTTGGGCAGAAGTGGCTCTCCGGCACATTTATTTCAGAGACCTGGGAGAAAAAGTGCAGGACCTGGCTGACAGTAAGTATTTCATACTAGTAATTTTATAGTCTTTTAATATATTAGTCTTATTATTATTATTATTCAATTATAGTCTTATAAGCTAATTGTTGTAAGATGTGATGCTGTGTTCATAAATTTGCATAGACAATTTCTATACATTTATAAAGTCATACATTCACAGCTGAAATGTCATGTCTGTATTAATAAAATGTTAAATTCTGTCACTCCAGCTACCTCCATCTTTTCTGTCAAGGAGATTCGACTTCAGATGGACCCAGGAAAACACTTTCCAGCTCAAAGAGAGTTGGGTGAGTTCGAACATTTACCTGGATGTTGAGTTCCTTGTACATGTTGGGAAAAAAAAGAAGCAAGACTGTAACCGTATTTTATCTCTCCTCCAAAAAATCAGATGAGAAAGTAATTGACACTACAGAAGTACCGTTTAGACCGTTCCCGCTAAATTTGGATCTCGTTTCCAGAATCTCACATTTAAATTTCCGCTACTGAAAGAAAGAGAGATAGGCATGTAGTAAAATAAAAGTGTAGTCTTCACAAAATTGTATGTTATTTTATTCGTCTTGTCAAGAGTCTTGAATTTATTGACTTTGACTTGAATTTATATGAATTATCTTAAGACACAAAATTTGTTTAATATTTTATGCAACACAGTAGGAAAAAAAGTGTCAGAGAAAATACATTTTTTATTTCTTATTGTTGTTCGTCTTGTCAGGATACAGTTCGTTTAACATTGACAACACAAAAGTGTCGCAGAGAGAAAAAAAATAAAAATGTAGGTTGTACTTGTCAAGAGTCTTGAATTTATTGACTTTGACTTGAATTTATATGAATTATCTTAAGACACAAAATTTGTTTAATATTTTATGCAACACAGTAGGAAAAAAAGTGTCAGAGAAAATACATTTTTTATTTCTTATTGTTGTTCGTCTTGTCAGGATACAGTTCGTTTAACATTGACAACACAAAAGTGTCGCAGAGAGAAAAAAAATAAAAATGTAGGTTGTACAAAAATAGCCTATTAGCTACTTTTATTCGTCTTGTCAAGAGTCTTGAATTTATTGACTTTGACTTGAATTTATATGAATTATCTTAAGACACAAAATTTGTTTAATATTTTATGCAACACAGTAGGAAAAGTGTTGCAGAGAAAAACAAATAAATATGACATCTTTCATTTAAAATTATAGACTAAGCAAAATATAAACAAAACCGAGCTGAACGTCCTTCAAGGAAAGCGCCTCCACACTTTGCTCCATCCTTATTCTGCACCGTCACTCATCGACAACCTGCCTGTTCTGTCTGAGGGCCGTATATTCACCACCAGTACAGCCTTCTTTGAGCATCGCTATGCACATGCTGCACACAGACCACGCAAATAAAACGCGTGACGGTAAAAGCATGCATGCAGCGCGTGCATAACAGTCCTGAGCGCAAGCTGTACCGGTGGTCAATAAGAATAAAGCGCAGATATGCTGTTCTGAATGGACATCGAGAACGGGATATTGTTAGACCGCCCGCTCCCGTTCAAATTACACCAG